ATTATTATTATTATTATTATTATTATTATTATTATTATTATTGATATTCATTGTTCAAAAGGGGAGCAAAATCCTTTCAACAGCTTAAAGGTTTAACTACTTTCCACCAATCAAATCTGTACAAATATTTTAAGATCTCGTTGCCTTCTCTAGGAACTGAGATATTGAAGAAACCAAACTTGGTTACAGGCAGGGGTGACTTCACCAAACGAGATGGAAACGTGTGATGYAATTCGTAGTTCACAAACAGCAACCAGGAAGCCCAACCGGGTCTTTTCATTATCCCATCATAGTCATAAAAGGTAAAAACATCCACTCCAAGATTCCATCCAGGTCTGCTTACTCCTATTAGTCCGTTACGGGCAACGTGATCTGTGACTCTCAATCCAGCAGTTATAAACGCGCCAAAAATATCTGTCTTTTTTAGCTTTAGAAACTGTATTCCTCGAATCCCAATATCGACGTCGTAATCCCAGGCAAGTGGTCCCTGTGCACGAATTGCGCCAAATACAGACCCATACATAAGCCAGTGATCGATGTGCAGTGAATCTAGAATTGTGTGTACCTCGTACGTTAAGTTGAGGAGCTGTTCCATTTCTTCTACTGAATGCATGCATTTTAAATTTCGGTCACGCACGTAGTCTGCGTGTCGTTGTGCTGTGTAAAACACATACGTACTGAAAATAAATGACATAGTCAAAACAAATACGCAGCAAATGATTTTCTTGATTGACCTTATGGTTACCATATTTTCTGTTTTTTCGTATACGCGTTAATTTGCTTGAAACGTTTTGTCGAAATTCTAGGTAGACACATGGCTTGTTTTTCACCGACTATGAATATATGAGTGGATATTGCAACCTCTTCAATTTTTATTCTTTCTGGCACTCAGTATGTCCTAAAAATAGTGAATGACACTTGTGATAAACATTCAAAAACACAGGAGGCCCATCGGGCCATGAAGTTAAACGTGTTCACAGTCATAAAAGATAAAATGTATTTACAATATCGGTATAGTTTTAAGGTTGTTGCCAGCTTTAAGAACCCCTCTTTTCACACATGGATAGAAAACTACTCCTAGACGTTGTTGGTGTTGCCAAGGGAATCGATATAATCATAACGGCGTCAGAAGAGAGCAGAAGACAGTCAGAGAAAGAGAGAGCGAGAGAGAGAGAGAGAGGAGGGGGGTGGGGGGACCAGAGAAATGATATCAACATTTTCAGTATTGAAACCTAATGCTATTCATTATAAGGATCAGTTTTAGCATCTTGACTAAGGTAATTCAACCTCAAAAGATCAGCTAGTTAGGAATTAGCGGGCAGGTCGATTGAATGAATGTGCCATGTACGTGCAGTAATTCATGTCGGTCTTGTTTGTCAGAGAGAGGCTTGATATTCTTCGTTTTGTTATAAGCAGTCTGCTTGTCGTTACGCTGCTTCTCAATTCTTCCTCATTATTAAGTTAAAAGTTTAGCCTTTATCACGCGTCCTTTATGCGTGTTTTTGAGAATCGTTATTCATTTTTATTCATCGAGAAAATCACTGATGCACATCAGTCACGTCCCAGTCAAGTAAAGCCACTTCACTTTACGTAATGTCATGTAACGTTTGCTTGCTTCGAATCAAAAAATTATTTTAGGAAAATAAATAAAATTCAATGTAATTCAAGAAATGAGTTTTATTCAGGGTGGGGGAAGGTTATGCGAATCAACATATCAATTGGTGAGCCTTTCTTTATACATATACAAACCTAATATATATCTCTAGTCGCCTTTATGGTAGCCTACAAAACGGCTGCTAAGGAGACTACCACCTATGAGTGCCGTTCTTAGACTTCAAATAGCTTCCTCCTCCCCCCTCCCCCCCCCC